CGAGAGAGAGTGTGGGCGCAGATGGCGCTGCTAGTGTCGTGTTTACGGTTTCAACCATTCCTTCGCTTGACGAACATTGAGAACTTGCGTCAGAGGCTGGAAAGTGTGCCTGGTTGGTGTGAATGTGTGTGCAGCTGGAAAGTGTACCTGTGTGTGTATGTGTGGTGCAGCTGGGAAAGTGTGCCTGGGTGTGTGTGTATGTGTGGTGCAAGCTGGGAAAGTGTGCCCTGGGTGTGTGTGTATGTGTGGTGCAGCTGGGAAAGTGTGCCTGGGTGTGTGTGTATGTGTGGTGCAGCTGGGAAAGTGTGCCTGGGTGTGTGTGTATGTGTGGTGCAGCTGGAAAGTGTGCCTGGGTGTGTGTGTATGTGTGGTGCAGCTGGAAAGTGTACCTGGGTGTGTGTGTATTGTGTGGTTGCAGCTGGGAAAGTGTACCTGGGGTGTGTGTGATGATGTGGTGCAGCTGGAAAGTGTACCTGGGTGTGTGTGTATGTGTGGTGCAGCTGGAAAGTGTACCTGGGTGTGTGTGTATGTGGTGCAGCAGGGAAAGTGTACCTGGTTGTGTGTGTATGTGTGGGTGCAGCTGGGAAAGTGTAACCTGGGTGTGTGTGTATGTGTGGTGCAGCTGGGAAAGTGTACCTGGGTGTGTGTGTATGTGTGGTGCAGCTGGGAAGTGGTACCTGGGTGTGTGTGTATGTGTGGTGCAGCTGGGAAAGTGTGCCTGGGTGTGTGTGTATGTGTGGTGCAGCTGGGAAAGTGTGCCTGGTGTGTGTGATTGCATGGTACAGCATGGGAAAGTGTACCTGGGTGTGTGTGTATGCATGGTTACAGCTTGGGAAAGTGTACCTGGGTGTAGTGTGTGTATGCATGGTGCAGTGTGTAAAGTGTAGCTGGGTGTGTGTGTATGCATGGTTGCAGGTAAAGTGTACCTGGGTGTGTGTGTATGCATGGTGGCAGGTGTAAAGTTGTCCACGGGTGTGGAGTGCAGCGTATGCAGTGTATGACGGTGACAATGGGCTGCCCTGACATCGTAGTTTTCCTTCGCGCTTTCGAAGGAAAAAAATAAATTGTCTGTTTTGTTTTTTAACTTGCTTAAGTATCGCTCTATAATAAGGCAGAGTGTTTTTTTATTTTGTCGTTTAACACATGGTGAGTAAACCTGCAGTACGATGCTAAACTGTTGTGTGGATGAGTAGTTACTGTTACGTACACACACACACAACACACACAAACACGCACCACAACACCGCACACACATTCACACATATATATAATAAAATTTTGTGTGTGTGTGTGTGTGTGTGTGTGTGTGTGAGTGTGTGTGTGTGTGTGTGTGTGTGTGTGTGTGATGTGATGTGTGTGGTGTAAATTGTTATTTCTGTATGGTTTCTGGTGTCAAATAAACAGTTAATGTTTTTCTGACGGAAGAGTAGTAAAGAATGATAGATAGACAGAAGAGTAGTAGATAATAGAAAATTAGAAATAGAGAGGAGGAAGAGAGAGGGGGGGAGGGGAAGATGTTTAAAGCACAAACGTAGTAACGGCTTGTAACACGGGGGTTATTTTCGTCCCTAGAGTTAAAAACCATTGTTGACAGGAGAGAAGGGTCCCCCCTGTCCTCCTGTCCTTCTGTCCTCCCGCCCTCCCTTTTCCCCCTGCCTCTCTGTCCTCCCGCCCCCCCCCCTTCCTCCCTGTCCTCTCTGTCCTTAACTGGGAAAAGCCCCTTTTGATGGCGAAACTTTTTCCAGAATAAAGATACCGAAATGTAACAAAGTGTCTCATTTATAAATTTTCGACTTCGAAACCCTTATAAACACTACGTCGACGTCCGTGCGGCGTGTGAGAGGGGGGTGTGGGGGGCTCAAACCGCAGTTTCCCTGAGGTAAAGCTCTTTCTGTGTGGCCGTGTTCCCTGGTACGTTATGTGAGGCTTGTGTCACACTCAGGTTCTTGAGCCTTTTTGAACCTGGTTGGTTTCTGCTGGCCATTGTTGCGTGGTTATTTTACGGTTCTGTTCGGGTTGTTATGACACTGATTCTCATCTGTTTCGGTTATTTAGTTAAAATACTGGTTTATTCTGTTCTAGTTTTGTGTGTCATGTTTGTTTTGTTCCCGGGAGCAGGTTGTTATGGGCGGTTGTTGTGTGGTTGTTTTGGTTCTGTTCTGTTATTATGTCACGGTTTGTTGTGTTCCGGGTTTTTATAGTTGTGTCACTTACTTAAAAAGGCACGTGATCCTTTTCCATTAAAAACTCTGGATTTTAAACAATTAGTTTTATTCTGTCACTGAGGTGCAGTGTTGTGTTGGGTGTGTTGTTTTTGTGTGTGTGTGGTGTGTGTGTTGTGTGTGTGGTGGTGTTGTGTAGTTGTTGTGTGTGTGTGTTGTGGTGTTGTGGTGGGGTGGTGGTGTGGTGGCGGTGGGGGTGGCGGGATGGTGGTGGGGTGGGTTTTGTTGTGGTTGTTGGTGGGGTGTGTGTGGGGTGGTGGTGGTGGTGATGGTGGGGTGGGTGGTGGTGTTGTTGGTGTGGTTGGGGGGGGGTGGTGGTGATGGTGGTGGTGGTGGGTGGGGGTGTGGTGATGGTGGTGGGGGTGGTGTTGTTTGTTGTTTGTTGTTGGTGTGGTGGTGGTGGTGTGGTGGTGGGGGTGGTGGTGTGATGGTGGTGGTGGTGGTGGTGTTGTTGGTGGAGGTGGTGGTGTTGTGTGGTGTTGGTGGTGGTGGTGGTGTGTTGTGGTGAGTGGTGGTGGTGGTGTTGTTGATGGTGGTGTTGGTGGTGCTGGTGGGGTTGGGGGGGTGTGGTGTGTGGGGTGTGGTGGGGTGGTGGGGGGGGTTGGTGGTGGGGGTGGTGGTGTGTGTGGAGGTGGGGGTGTGTGTGGGGATGGTGGGTGTGTGGGTGGGGTGGTGGTGGTTGGTGGGTGGTGTGGTGGGGGGGTGGTGTTGGTGGCGTTGTGGTGTGGTGGTGTGGTGGTGCGTGGTGGTGATGGTGATGAGTAGGAAGCCATTTATGAATATAACCCGCAGGCAAGTATGTGGTGTCCCTACAACACACACACACACACACACACACACACACACCACACACCACACGCACACACACACACACACACACACACACACACTCACTACACACACACACACACACACAAACCACACACACAACCACACACCCAAACAAACAAACACACACACACACACACACCACACACACACACACACACCACAACACACCACACACACACAATCACAAACACACCACCACAAACACACACACACACACACACACACACAACACACACACACACAAACACACACAAACCACACACACA